TCTTGGCTAAAAGATGCTGGCAGGAAGGGCTGAGAGTTTAGAAGATGAGGTCCTGATGATCTGGCCGAGAAAGCGTGATGCCAGAGACAAGGCTGAGAAACCCAAGACGAGGAGCCACAGCCTGGAGGAGGGCCTTGCTCCTTCCTCAAGCATCCTTACTGAAATCTGCAAAATGGAGACTGCTGCAAGGTCTGGTAGGAATGAGAGTCCTTTGGGAACCGAAGGACCTGGGTACAAACCTCAGCTCTGTGTTTTCTGGCTGTATGGCCAAGGCTCCCACCCCGTGTCTGTGAGCCTCATCCTAGGGCCGTGTGGGTGAGGGGTGTGAATGAGAGGGTGAGTCAAGACCCCCGTGGAACTCCTTGCATTGACAGATAGGTAGTTCGTGTGTCCTAGCTCAGCCCTTGTTCTTTCTTCTACAAAGAAGGAGGCAGGCACTGCACCACTGAGCTAAATACCCAACCCCTTACAAGGAAGGAGGAAGAAAAGCCTCCCAGGCAATCAAGACTGGGCCCGCAGGCCTCCAGGACAGAGGGCTCTTTCTGGCTCCTTTTAGCCCAGTCCCTGCAGCAGGCCAGGAAGGACACCGTGGATAGGACCAGGTCAGACAGAGCTGGAGGAGCTGCAGCCTGACACTGAGGACTGTCATGCCTAACTCCTTCAGGAGGAGCCTCAGAGGCCCGAGAAGCAGCAGCGAGTGTAGATGCAGGAGGTGAGCGTTCTTTTTTCATTTCTGCCATCCTGAGCAAATAAGAGGACAATGGCTGGGAGAAGGAGCTCTGTTTGGCCTCACCTGCCCCTCAGCCTGGTGGGGCTCCTTTCTGTACTCATCCCCTGCTGCAGGCCTCAGGGAGGACATGGATCGGAAGTCTAGCATGGCTATGGGGGTTCAACTCCAGGGCAGCAATGGCCTCTCAGCGTGGGTCCAGGTGACATCCAGCCCTCCTACCCAGGGTTTCTCCTTGCAGAGTAAAAGATAAGGGACATTGGAGGGAGCTGCTTTACCAAGAAGTATAGGAAAGAGAGTAGTTGAGAGGCCCTGGGAATGGAGGTAATTGTCAGACAGCAAGCACAGAAGAGGACATTTCCTTATCTTCTTTTTTTTTTTTTAACCAAAATTTTTTCCCTTCATGAGAAAAAAAAAAAAATGAACACAGACATGAAGGGAGAAAAAAATGAAAAGTTCCTTTTATTCTTCTTTCTAGCCAATATCACTGCTTTCCCCAGCAATAACCTATATGAGCAGCTTACTGGGTATCATGCCAGACATTCCCAGGGGACTTACACACACACACACACACACACACACACACACACACACACGCATGCATATGCATGAACAAGGTCACTGTCTCTGCTTTTAGTAACTAGGCTCCTGCTGACTATCTTTCTTGGTAGTTTCCCCTTCTAGTACATTCTGGATATTTTCTCATGTCAACATATATGGAAGTATCCATGTTTTTGTTTTTATATTTCTGCATAATAGTCCAGGTATGGTGTAAGGCAGTTGATTTGACCACCCCCCTTCCTTACCACCCCCACCCAGGTCCCACTGTCCTCCTCTAAGGAGCCTGCATCAAAAGGTTTTGTGGCAAATGGCGCCTCTGCACAATTCCAGGGCACGCCATCCGCATTCAGAATGTGACAGCCTTGCTTGATGGACAGATAAGGTGTCTCTCATTTTTACCACACGCAGTCCTGCAGCATGCATGCTGCCAGGCCTCTTTGTGCACTTAGAAGTCACTCTGCAGTCCCTGACTGGCTTCTCGGCGGGGCTGGCGGGCAGAAGTGCACGCATCCCACGTTTGATGGCCCTGCCCTGGCATGGGAGGGAGGCTTACGCTCCTATGCCCGCTCAGCTTCAGCCCACAGTGCCCCTACACACATCTATCACATGGCCCTGGCTGGGCTGCTGCTTCCAGGAAATCAATTGCAAAGATGACTGTCAGTGGCTCACGCATTGGAAGCCATCCAGGGAGTAGATTAAATTGTATGAGAAAATTGTACCAGGCTCAGGATGGCTCGAAATGGAGACCCCTTCGTGACCTTTCCGGAGAAGTTAAAAGAACATGGACAGGCACACTCAGTTACAACCCCAAGCCCTGCCAGAAGCGCAGTGCTCTAACCTTGGAGGAGTAGCTCTTCATTACCAGGCTGGGCTGCAAGGAGGAGGCCAGGGCCACCTATGCACAGCCAAGGAGGTCACTGCCAGCCCCTGCTTCCCTGAGGGGCACCCAGGTTGACCACCAGCCCCTAGCTGATAAAGTCGCTAGTTACTTCTCTCAGACCAATGGCTTCTCCCAGCTGAGTACAACCTTTTTTCCCCTCCTGCACAAATACAGGCATCAGCATGGCCACCTCAGGTCTGATTATCTAGCTGGGGCCCTCTGCCCTGCACCTCCCAGGAGGAGAGGACCCACTGGAGAGCAGTGTGGAGGAAGGAGGACAAATACAACATATCCCTTAACCAGGAGAGTGACACTGTGGCTTTACCTGGTCCCAAAGCAGCCAGGCCTATGAGCCTCCAAGCAGCTATTCCCAGCCCATTCCTTCCTCTGTAGATCCCGAGCCCCCATACCAACAACTGGTCTTGTGAGGAAGATCCAACCTTAGCTATACACTTAGGGAAACATTCATTTTTGTTTTTGTTTCTTGTTTTTTGGTACCGGGGATCAAACCATCGCACACCTGCAAGGCAGGCACTTATGTTGCTGAGCTAAATCCCCGGCCCTGAAACATTTTTCTACACATAGCTGTCTCCCAGCTTGCCAGGCCATCCTTCTGCCTTTCCCACCATGGAGGGGCTGTGCACTATCTACATTACCTTCATTTGCACAAGCTCTATCCGGAAGATGCTAGCATTATTTACTGGTGAGGAAATGGAGGCTGGAAAAGGTTAAGTGACTTGATGTTGGTTACACCGCTGGTAATTGCTGAAGCCAAGACTGAAAGCCAGGTCCATTCAGACTCCATGGCCTGTGTGCTTAGCCACTGTGCTGCATCAGCTCCCACTCCTAGGTTGAGCTATATCTTATTTACCTTTCTCATTGCTGAGACAAAATAGCCAACACAAGTTAAAGGAGGAAAGGTTGACTTCAGGTCACAGTTTGTGGAGGTTTCAGTCCATAATCAGCTGGATCCAAGGCAGGGTGGCATGGCAGAAGAGAAACATTCCATGGCAGCAAACTTGTCTCTCCCTTTTATCCCTTCTAGGCTACCTGCCTTTTGGGTGGTGCCACCCACACTCAGGGTGACTCTTCCCTTTTGTTATTGTTAATTTTGAAGCAAGATCTTGCTATGTAGTCTTGAATTCTCCGGTGATCCTCCTGCCTCAGCCTCCCAAATGCTAGTATTACAAGCATGCACCACCACGCTCAGTGGGCCTTCCCATTATTCATATCAAGAACTATGCCTAACCAATCAGTGGACTAATTTAGCAATCACAAATTCTTTATCTCAGCATCATGCACCCTGGATCCAGCCACCTGCACCCAGGCTTGGGCTGGATGTTCATCCTTGAACAGCAAAAGACTGAAGACCAGCAAGGCATAGGGATGTTCCCTCCTGAGCAGATACAGCTCTACTCCAGGCCAGCAAGAGTCACCTTGCCTTCCTAGGACCTTTGGGAACAATCACCCACTCTGGCTGCCAGGGCCTGGTCAGCTCAGCTTGAGGGTAGGAGACCCTCACTGGGCATCACCTCCTCATCTGACGCCATGTCTGAGCTAGGAAAAGGGAGGAAGCAGGCCACCTCCCAGAGGGGCTTGCTGCCCTCCTGTGGTGCCTGTGTCCCCCCATCCCTCCCTTCTGATGCTGGAGGCCTGTGGTCCAGCAGGGACAAAGGAGGAGGAGCAGAAAGCTGAGAGAAATCCGTGTTTCAGGAAGCCAGCTGGGCAAGGGAGGGAGGGGCAGAGCCTTCTGCAGGGAAACAGTGCCTGTCATTGTGATTACAAAAGCAGCAGCTATGAAACACTTCCTGTTGTTTTTAGGTTCTCTCATTGCACCCTTAAACTTGCATCAGCATCATTAGGACCTTTATTGGTTTTGCTGGTGATGCTGTGAGGCTCAGTCATTTGTTCAGAGTCCCAGCTGGTAGGAGCCAGAGCCAGGATCTTATGTGAACCTGAGCCCTTACCACTATTCCACTAGCTGGAGTCCATTTTCCCCCGTGGCCTGCCCCTACCCTCCAGGCTGTGAGCTGCTGCCCATTTGCACTGTCTCTTCAGGTCCCTTTGCCCTCTGTTCATCTGTCCTTGCTGGTACCATGCCCTGCTCTGAGGTGTATGTGGTTAAAGGCATCCCGAGGATCTCTTGAGACCTGTGTCTTTCTTCTGGAACGTCTTTATGCCTTGCTGGTCTTCAGTCTTTTTCTGCTGTTCAAGGATGAACATCCAGCCCAAGCCTGGGTTCTGGTGGCCAAGTCATTTTCGTTGATGATTAGAGAGAGAGCAGTGAACTGATGGAGTGAATTATTAACTACCAGCTAAGGATGCCACAGGGCCCATAACCTTGATGGAGGTAAAATCTATTTATCTGTTTTTTTAAAAAATCTATTTATCTGTTGGCCTGAAAAGACATCCCAATATGTTATTCCACAAATAAATAAATAAATAAATAAAAAACAGGTGACAAAGTTGTGTATAGTAAGTAAACATTTGATTAGTGAAATGGGTTTTCTGTTTCTAAGCATAGAAAAAGGGTATTTGCCAAAATGTTAACAGATGAGTTTTGTTGGCTTATCTGTGTTTTCTATTTTTTCAGTGAACACATAGATTATTCACATGATTTTTAAAAAACCATAAAAATAAACCAGTCCCAGACTGGTTTACTTTTTCCTATCCTTATCTCTACACCAATAGCTCTTCAGACCATACAATTAAGTAATAATCACACTATCATTATACTACTTGGGAACTTTCTCTTCTGTTCTCTCTGTCTCAACGGCTTAGGTGTGGCCCTAGAAGTCCCCTCCTGAGGAATAGAAGAGTGAAGGCTGTGGCCTCACTGCTACCCAGAGACCTCTGCCCTCTCCTTAAGCCTTTGGTACCCAGGAGGAGGAAATGTTTGAGCTTTCTACTGTGCTGTTTGCTTCTATAGGTGCTGCTGACTTCTAGACCTCACCCTGGCAGTCCCTGCTGGTGCGGATTTGAAGCCTGGGACACACAGTGGGGTGCTGTCTTTTCCGTGAACATGCCTGCCCAGAAGTGCTCTTGCTCCTCGCTACATCATCCCATGGTACAAGGAAGGCCACTGAGGCATAGAAGGCACAGGTTTTCTGATGGCAGCCTCCTGAATGTGCTCCCGTAGAGAGAATGCCAGCATTAGCCGCTAGGATCTTCTCTTCCTGTGTGTACACTGCCGGGTTCTCAGGAAGGCAGCTCACCAGAACCACAAGGGCCCTCTTCTCTGGAGCAGGGCCCAGGCCCAATCATTCTTGGAGTGGTCGGCTGTTCTGAGGGCCCCTAATTCCATCATTGCTCTCAAAACAGCAATCATCAGAAAGGTAGCTGAAAGCTGTCTTGCCACCAAGCTGAGTTAGAATTTGAAGGGAAGGAGCAGGGGACTTAGTGTCATCCAGCCCCCATCTTTAAATCAAAACCCTTGCCATGTCCATTCCTACTGCCTAGAAACAAGGTCTGTCCTCACCAAGGTTCTTCCATGCAAGACAGATGTGGAGGTTTTGCAGGTGATACTGTGAGGCTCAGTCATTTGTTCAGAGGTCCCAGCTGGTAGGAGACCATAGGAGACTAGGCGGTGGGGGATTTGGGTTCTCTTCCAACTCCGCCCAATGCCTGAGATCACCTTGGTCAAATCCTGCCTATCCACCCTATGCCTTCTTCCCACACAGTATGATGGTGTAAAGATGGGTTTCACCAGATCCCTAACAGCATGTTTGCCCTAAATGAGGATCTGATAATAAATTCCCCATTTTGAGCTTCCTGGCTTGGCTGAATAGTCAAAGTATGATTGATAGCGGCATCCCGTGGACACCAAGGGTAACTGCATCAATTTGGACGGAAGCCACAAGATGACATCCTGCTTCCCTCATTATGTGGAAAGGAGCTGATTGCAATTAATCACACTCATCGTCTTACACAGGGAGCTGTCTTCGAGCTGGAAAAGCCCCCAAATCAGAAGGCAAGCCTTCCAGCTATATTCCCCTGCCGTCAACCTCTAGCTATACAACCGTTTTGTTTAAATTTGTCCCTTTTCAAATACTGGCCTAATAAAAGAGACTAGTGCAGTGATGGCAAACCTTTTAGGGACCGAGTGCCCAAACTGCAACCCAAACCCAAGCCCCCAATTATTTATCACTAAGTGGCAACCATGCAGTTAAACCTGAATGCTGAGGGTTTAGTTTAAAAAAAAAAAGCAACTTTTATCTGACGCTTGTTTGCTGAGGCACCTTGGCCCACTGCAGCATGTATGCCACAGGTTTGCCACCACTGCTTAGTTTAACTGAAGGAGAGTAATGTTGATAATGCTCGTAACAGAAAAAGTTGAATGGGTTGTTAAGTCTTGCCAGGAGTGTCACATGTATTATTTCATTTCATTTTCCCCCAAACTGAAGAGGACTGGGACTCTTATCCCCAATTTTCAAATGAGGAATCTAAGACATTGTCCATAAAGGGAGCTGATTTCAAACCTGGACAATAGGCATCAGATCCCATTTTCCTCAATTACCCCTTTATGCCATCTCACTGCTTTCAGTGTCTACCTACTGCACCCCAAGCCATTGGTGAGCCCAACAAACTGAAGAAAACCCCACTTCCTAAGGCACTGGCTTGAATTCCACATGTCTGAGTCACTCTCTTTGGCAGTGAGTGGACTCATGGGAGGGGCCTTAGAGTGAGCCAGCACTAGCTCTCATGTGACCTGAGGCTCATTCCTGAACTTTACTTGCATGGGCTACCAAGAGTGAGTCATGAGCTCTTCTCTTGAGATGATGTTGCAAAGATCACTTAAATCACTTGCTGCTGGGTAGAAGCTCAAAAAATCATTTTTATGCTTATCTATGAGCTGTGTGATTTGACCTTGGAAAGGGCCAACTTGGTAGGCAGTGGATTCTGATCCAATCTCTTTAGAAAGCACCGCTTAGAAAGTCAAGGATTTGGACAGCAGTGAGGACCAGCCTTTTCACCTGAGGCTTGTGAGTTTCCAAGGAAACCACTGATGAATCCTGTTTCAAAGAATCTCCAAAATCAAGACGCCAAAGCAAAGACAAGATCTCAGTACTCTGAGTTTTTCAAAAACACTATTAACTAAAGAACAGTGTCCCTTCAGGTTTCAAGACCATATGGCCAACAGTCTGCAGAGACTCAAGACAGCACGAGCCCACTTCAGGAAGCACAAGTTCAAGACCAGAGCTGGTATGTCTGAATCCTAGTTCCAGCTCTGCCTCCCATTGTTCAGTATCTTTTTTTTTTTTTTTCTTATCAGTACCGGGAATCGAACTCATGACTGCCTGCTTGCAAGGCAGGTGCTTATGCTACGGAGCTAAACCTCCAGCCCCTGCCTCCCATTGTTCATGCACAACTGTGAAGTTGGTTCTCTTCTTGGAGGTCACACAGCTGTAAGCTTCTCTTTTCATTGCCTCAGTGTTTTTCTTTTCCCATCTCTGCAAAAACAAGTGCAGTCCTTCTTGTTAATATCTTTTTACTAGCAGAGACATAGCCATCAGCCACGAATAGACAACTAATGCATTTATATTCCCAACCCCTAGGAAGCATCTGACATGTGGAAGATATGGCCATTGGTGAATGAATAAGGTCAACATCTCACTACAATGGCTGGAAGCCCATTGCTGGAAACGTCCCCACAGAGAATAATACTGGGCCCCTAAGCATTCCAAATAGTGAGTAAGGGTTGTAAAGAACTCTTCCCATTGCAGGTCACATTAAGGCCTCAGTGTGATAGACACCAATGTCACTTGAGGTATAATTAATCTGGGAGTACAGCAGATTAATTATGTCTTAACAGCTTACCTCCAGGCTGGGTAGCTTAAGACAATAATCAACATTTATTGCCTTACAGTTGCTGTTGGTCAGGACCTGGAGGTGGCTCACCTGGGTGTTCTACCTCATATCTTTCATGCTGACCTCAAGCAGTTATGATGTCAGTTGGAGTTACAGTCACTGGAGAGTTTGGCTGGGACTGGAGGATCTGCTTCCAAAGTGACTGATGCATGTGCCTTGGGAGCTGGTACCGACTGGAGGTCCTAGTCCCTTCCCCTGGGGACCTCTCCATAGGTCTGCTTGAGTGGCCTCATGACATGGCAGCTGGCATCTTCCAGAATGAGTGAGTTGAAAGAGAGCAAGGAGGAAACCATAATGTCTCTTATGATGATATTGTATTCCTAAGGCTGCAGGACTAAGGATCACAAAAAAGGTGACCTAAAAAACAGTAGGAATTTACTCTTAGTTCTCAAGGCAGGTTTGAAATCAAGTTGTTTGCAAAGCTCTAGAGAAGAACCTTCCTCGCCTCTCTTAGCTTCTGGTGGCCTTGACGTTCCTTGACTTGTGGCTGCACAACTCCTTCCTCTGCCTCCCTTCGCATGTAAGCTATGCCTATCTGCTCTGTGTCTCTCTGTCCTTATAAGGACTCTTGTCATTTGCTGTGGGGCCCACTCTAGTGAAATATGACCCTGAGTTTATCTGCAAAGACTACTTCTAAATAAAGTCACATTCCCAGAGCTTTTTAGTATGTCTCTTTGAGGACACTATTCGTGATCCACCAGGATGATCTAGCCTGAGAAATTGCATGTCATTTCTGCAAGAAGTACCTACAGGGACACATGGCTGTGCATCCCAGCAGGGGGTAATTATTGGGGTCATTGTGCAAGCAGGCTAGCATAACACATGTCACAGTGAGTGTGAGACAGGCACCACACAGTACCCATAGAGGAAACAATGGAGGACTAGCAGCGTTAGGACCCTCAGCCTGTCCAGAGTACAAAAGGATTCCAAGGTGGAGAAAAGGGAAGGTTTGGAATCAGAAATCTATGCTGGAGCACCAACCCTAATAGTGCTGGGGTCCTACCACCTTCACCCAGTGATGGTGGCTTCCACGGAGATGTTGTGAGCTGTGGTGCCATGGGCTTGCACTTGGGCCTGCGCCTGGAGAAGGGGCTGCCCTGGGAATGGGGCAGGGGCCATGTGAATGTATCCCAGGAACCAGCTGTGATCAGAGGTGGAGCATGGGGAAGAGAGGTCCAGTGGGGGTCCTTTAATGTCCTATAGAGGCCTCCTAGACAGGCGAAGGAATCTCAGCAGGAAGAAGATGGAGGAGGATGCCTGGATTTGAGGGGTAGAAGATAGAGTGCCTGGAATGGAAGTATAAATCAACGAACTTCTGCCAGGAGCCACACAGACAGGAACCTCTGAAGAGCCCAGAGAAACTTCTAGGGAAGAGATTTCACCGTCTGCCTGGCTGGAGAGCTGGCAGTCATGTGTTCCAACAGGAATTATGCGATTTCCCAGTTCCCTTACTTTCTTTCCTCTCCTCTCATTCCTGCCACCACTCAGACCCTAAAACTAACCAGTAAGTGGGGAGGGGGTTGTTCAGGTGAGAACACAGACAAAGGCTGCCTGTCCTCCAGCCCCTGGAGACCAGCAGCCCCCAACTACAGCCCGTAACTAGGGCAGGGGAAGATTTATCTTTGAAGAAAGACGAAAGAGTCATCTAATATCTTTGACTGGATATTTTAAATCCCTAAATTGACAGTGGATTTTGTGACACCAAATGAGTGTACCTAAGCATAGCCATAAGCGGCACCGGAGACGGCAGAGCTGTTATCCTGGGGAAGAGGAAATACTCCCCTCCTTGAATACCTCAGATGGACAGCAAGAGACGAAACAGTGCAGCTGACTTTAGATCATATCTCACACTTGCTCGGTGGATTGGTTTCACTCAGCTCAGCCTTTGTCCAGGGGAGTTAGGTCTTATACTTCCTACCCAGCACCCCCAATGAAGGGCTTTGCCTCTGGAGGGTCCTAATTCTTTGTTAACTTTTGTCTAAAACCGAGGAATGTTTACTATTTTTTTCCTTCCTATCTTTCTGAAAATAACACAAAGAACAACAGCAAAAGGACTCCTTGTCCCAGCACAAACACCCACACCCTCTGAACTCCTCACCCGGTCGTGGCCTGACTTCACCCCTAGGGGGAAGCTGGGCATGAAGCCGGAGGATGGAGCTCTGCCTGGCAACAAGAACTAGTTTGGAAAAGCTTTGTACAAAGTCAACTATGGGGGGTGGGAGGACTGAAGACAGCATCAGGGAACAGCTCTAAACAAACAAACATTCCCCATGCTTGATGGAGTTGTGATCTGATCAATCCTTTCAATGTCTTTTCAGTAATTGAAAAAAATGGCTGTCTCTGAGTCTCCCTCTCTCACTGTCTTTGCACGAGGCATGCCTCTGGCCCTGTCAAGATGGCTTGTCAAGAAGGACATCCCTCTGGAGAAAAGGCACCAGAGCTAGAGGTGGGAGGGTCAGGTCTTCAGAGCACTGCAGATCAGACACCAGGCAGGATCCAGCTCCCAGCAAGGACTCTGCTGGGCAGAGGCAAGACTGGAATGTAAATGCAGAACAGTGCCTGCAAAGCCAGGATGACAGAGGACCAGCATCCCACAGGCGGAACTTCTGGCAAAGCCTTCCACAGCTCAGAGGCTCCAGGGAGCAGAAATTCTGATTCTCTGGATTATTTCAGCACAAAGCATTTATCATGCTCATGATGCCAGTGGCATCAGAGGTCCTAGACAGGCCTCATTCTTCACAGTCTGGAGGAGAAAGGGCTCAGAACACTGTTTAAACTGCTCTCCCTGAAGGTTTCAGGTGCTGAGGTGAGACTCCACGGTAGAGCATTTGCCTAGCATGTGTGAAGCTTTGGATTCAATCCCCAGCTTGGTGGTGGTGGTGGTGGGGGGAACGAGAACAAAATCTTGTCCCCAGACTGCTGGTGCTGGTGTATGCTTCCCCTTCTTCCCTTAACCTGGTATCCAGAAGCAGCGACAGTCCCCCATCAGGCAGCACTCTCCCCTCATTTTCCTCAAAGAGTTCAATAGTTGCTTAATTGTGAACAGATTGATGGAAAGTCTCCGGATGTGGCCTCAGTCTCTGGGAGCAGAGAGTTCTGGGAGGAACTGCAGAGCTGGGCTCCACGTGGGGTTAGCAGGGGACTATTGTCCTCCCAGAATTCATGTGGAAACCAAGACCTCACCACAATAGCACTAAGTGGGGACTTTAGGAGGTGGCTTGGTCATGAAGTCTCCAACTTCATGTGTGAAGCCCTGGTACAAGAGGCAGAAGGAGTTTGTAGGATATTTTAGATCTAAGTCATAACATACCAAACGGCTTTTCTTTCTCCAGTTACAGCAAAAGTCTCATTGTGTGTTTTTGGCTGATTTGATTATGGATCCATCACTAAGCAAAACACCACACTGAGGGAATGTGATTGGTCTAATTGGTGAGGCTATAGTCCCATGACCTCTGGACCTGGAAGTGAAATCAGATCTACCTATAGGACATCAAAGATAGGAAAGAGCTTCAAAGTGGAAAATCATGGTACATCTTTACATCAAAAAAGAGATCACTGTGTTTTTTTGCCCAGTGCTAGGGATTGATCTCAGTTATTAGCATTAGGCCACATCTTCACCCCTATTTCATTTATATTTTGAGACAGGGTTCTCACTAAGAGGCTAAGTTGCCAAGGCTAGGCTTGAAATTGTGATCCTCAGGGTTGGGAATTTAGCTCAGCAGCATAAGTACCTGCTTTGCAAGCAGGTAGTCGTGAGTTCGATCCCCGGTATTTTTTTTTAAATGCCAAAAAAAAAGAAAGAAATTGTGATCCTCCTGCCTCAGTTTCCCAAAGTGCTGGAATGAAGCTCACTCTTAAATTGATCAAAGAGCGAGCAGAGTGATCTCCTTCCAGTATAAGGAAGACTGCTGCATGGCACTACAGAGCCTGTGGCTGGGGTTGTCCAAAATTCTCTTAGGTGTCTGCAGGTTCATTCAACTCAGTCCCTAAAATGGAGATTACCAGAGTTTCCCCCAATATTTTCCTCCCTGCTGCATTCCACACAGCTCTTGAACTTCCCAGGGTGAGGACAAGAAGGGTGACGAGAAGATGAGATGAAGAAATAAAGACAAGATACAGAAAGCTAGGATCAGGTGTACCCTCTTTCCTGATGGGAGGAAAGGAACTGCTCAAAAGAGGAACTGTTTATTTATAGACTGGCACGTGACACCACTCCGATAGTAAACCTGCCTGCATAGTAGCCTGAGGGCCAGGTGTTTTCCGGACTGGAGCAGTTTGTTCACGTGGCACGCCTTGGGCACTCTTTGTTCTCCAGATTCAGCTCGCCCTTGTGACTGATCCAATTTCATCTCCTTCTCTTCCACAGTAACGTATTTATAGCTGGGTTCTCAGCAGCCCAGTTGGGGATAGCGTTTTCTAAGCCTCCTTGTAGTTAGATATCACTATTTGAGCTGAAGAGGTGTCTACGCCTGGGTTTGAGGTTGTGCGCATCCCTCATGCAGACTCCTCCCCCTTCTGACCCTTTGGCATTGGGAATCAAACTCAGGACCTTGTGCTTGCCCTGCAGGCAGTTATTATTATTTTTTTTTTCCTGCAGGCACTTATTACCGCTGATCTACATCCCCAGGTTGAGACCTGGCTTTGACTATGTCGGTGAGAACTATGCTCAGCAGGAGGGTGGGAGACAATGCCACGAAGCTCTTGCCAATGTAGAATGAGTTCTTCAAGTGACAAAAAAATTTGTCTTTTCTAGGCCACCAAATTGTTATATTTTACCCATTCTAAGACCCATTTTTTTCATGTTTTAGTATCTCATATTCATGGTACCATTTGCCAACCAACGGTCATAAGTCACCTGTAGAGTAAATCAGGTTCTAGAGAAAAAAATTCCTTGTGGGATCTCTATTAATATAAACAAATTAATTTTAAACCAGGTGTGGTGGTGCATGCCTGTAATTCCAGCACTAGAGAGGCTGAGGCAAGAGGATTATTGTGAGTTCAAGCCCAGCCTGGGATATATAATGAGTTCAAAGTCAACCTGAACTATATATAGCAAGACCCATTTCAAAAAAAAAAATTAAAATTAACACATTGTAAAATTCATAGACCATTGTAAGGCACAGTGATTTATCACTGAAGATTTAGAATAATGAGCAGAAAAGAGCTGCTCATCTATTTATTTGCCTGTTGTGCAGAGAATGCACATGAAGATTCTTCTGAATGGCCAAGAATCATTTCTTCCCCAGTTGCATTCCAGAAACCGTCTCTTGATCATTTCATATTTCCCACAGTGCAAAAACAATAGCAGCACATGCTGGCTAAATACTGTACACAGAATGTTATTCCTTTAAGAGTTCTGTGCCAAAGTTCTATTTCAGCCTTTATGTACTTTTGTTACACACTGTTGTTTGATGTTTATTGAGGCTTTGTCTGCATTCTAGAAATTGCATGTTGTGTGGAAGTGATGTTTGGTGTTCTTTTAATAGAGATCCTATGTGATTCCAGTCCCAGATGGCTTCTTTGGCCAAAGCTAATGTTGAAAGAGGGATTTTAAACAAGTAACAATAGTAACAAACACTTTGGTTTTGAATTTAAAGCTAGTGTTTCCAGTTTCTTTTACCATGTGAAAAAGGTGTAGAATGAGCTGTTGGCTTGATTTCCCATCTCTCCATTGCTCAGGCAGTTCCCATGGCTTGCTGAAGAGTCCTATTTTCTACTCACAGGAGAGCCAGCCCTCTACCTCATCTGCCAGGTCTTTGAGATGCTTTGAGATGTGGGGAGTCCTTGCTGTGACCTGAGTGCTGGCTGTGGCCTGGGTATCCCTAGATCCCAAATCAGCCAGAAGGTAGCTGCTGACTGCTGACAGAAGTTGGTGTGGGTGTCAGATGTCAAGAAGGAAGAGAATGAGAGGAGCTGGGGAGGGGAAGAGATGTTCTAAAAGAGCTCAAGAGCCTGAGGCCAACTTGAAATTAGAGGTCAGGACTTCCTCTCCTTGCTGGGCCAAGAGATTCTCCTTGGAGGCTGCCCTAAAACCACACACACACAAAAACAAAAC